CCAAAGACACCCCCCCCCACTTCCAAATACCATCATGTGGGGATTAGGCTTCAACATAGGAGTTCTGGGGATATAAACATCCGGTCCACTGATTCCTCCCTGGCCCCCAAAAAATGCATGTCCTTCTCAAATGCAAAATACATTCATTCCATCACAACCACCCTGAAGTCTTAACCCATCTGGGATCAGCTCGTGTAAATAAGTCTCATGTAAGTATCATCTAAATCAGGGATAGGGATGAGGCCCTACATACAGTTCCTCCTGAGGCAGAATTTGCCTCCAGCTGCAAACCTGTGAAAACAAGTTGCGTGCTTCCAGAGTACACTGTTGGCATGGTAACAGGAGAGACATCCCCATTCCGAAGGAAATGGGGAAGAAGGAGAGGATGACAGATCCCCAGCAAGTCCAAAACCAAGTCAGGCAAACTTCATGAGATCTCCAGGCTTGGGAATAATCCGTTTTGGCTTGATAGTCTGCCTTCTGGGCCCACTGGGGAGTCCACCAGGCCTGTTAAAAGCAAGGCAGTGGTCATCTTTTTTGAAAATAAGCAGGCAGCCCTGATGATCTCTGGGCCACTTCGGGATCATTCTTTTCTCGTCTTGAAGAACAGTACATGTTCACAGCCAAATAGCTCCGTAGTTCTGTCCTGTAAAATCCAAGAAGTTTTATAGCCTTCCTTCATTCCTTCCTGCCTCTGTCCCCTTCTGTTTTGTTTCATGGTTTCCATGTCAGAGTAGCTGATGCGGTCCATGGTTCACACCGCACTGACCGCCTTAGCAGAGCCTCGCGTGGCCATATCCTCTGTGTTCTCTTCCAAACACACGTGCTCATTTCTTTTAGTACAGGTTGGCTGAAAACTTCCCAGCTCTTTACGTTCTGGCTCCTTTTTGCTTAATCTACATTCATGTCGTTTCCCTCCTCCCTCGTTTTACCCTAAGCAGTCTGGAGGAACCAAGCCACCCCTCTGCACTTTGCTGAGCAGTCTCCTCGGCGAACCCCCAGTGTCACTGCTCGCGAGCTCCGCCTTCCTCAGAGCACTGGGACACGAGCACGATCAGATCGTCTGTCACTTCATAACAGGAGGTTCCTTGTCTCTATTATCCGCTCACCGTTCCTCATTTCTGTCTGAGAACTCATCGGAGTGGCCTTTACCAATACTTAACCCGTACTCCTACTGCCCTTCTGTCCACGGTTACGTGGGTGCTCTCTCAGGAGACAGAAGCTCTCTCTCTAGCTCTCCTTGTCTTTCTGGGCTCTCCCCGCCTCTGCCTGTCACCCTGTGCCAGAGCCACTGCACACTGTTAGGTGCGTCCGGTGCAGCAGCGCCCCGCCTCTCAGCACCAGTTCCTGCGTCAGTCCGCTGGGGCCGCTTTAACAAAATGCCGCGGGCCTGGGGGCTTCGGCGTTCATTTCTCGCAGTGCTGGGGGCTGGACGGTCCACGGTCAGGGACCAGCACGTTGGGTGCTGGTGAGTACCCTCTTCCAGGTTGCCACACTGCCACCCTCTCCCTGTGTCTTCACGTGATGGAAAGCAGAGCACGGCTCTCTGTCGGGGGCAGGTCTTTCATCAGGGCCGCAGTTCCATCCGTGAGCCACTCCCCACTCAAGACCAGTCAGTTCCTACAGGCCGCACTTCCAAATACTGTCACATTGTGGATTGGCCTCAACAGAGGAATTTGAGGGGGACATAGACATTTGCATTCGGTCCATTGTACTTGCGTTCCTTTCTTTCTCGCTGTAAGAAGAAGAAAGCGTCTCATCAAAGCTGGGTGCTTTCACTGCCCAGCCCCTGACGAGTAATCCGATTTTTTTTTTTAAAGATTTTATTTATTTATTTGGCAGGGAGAGAGATCACAAGTAGGCAGAGAGGCAGGCAGAGAGAGGGGGAAGCAGGCTCCCCGCGGAGCAGAGAGCCCAATGTAGGGCTCGATCCCAGACCCCTAGATCATGACCGGAGCCGAAGGCAGAGGCCTTAACCCACTGAGCCACCCAGGCGCCAAAGTAATCCCATTTTTTAAAAAAAGTTCTGATTGAGATCAGCAGAATGAAAATGAAGAACGGGGGCCAGTGCTTGCGAAGTAGACATTCTGCTCTCATACCACCTTCTCTCTTACATTGTAGAGGATGAAACAAAACATTCTTTACTTCCGGGGATGACACGGAGCTCTCCTTTGGTTCCTGGTGGTTCTGTCCTCCTTAAGGTCAGAGACTGTACTGACCTCATCTCTGAACCCTTGGTGCCGACCTCAGCTGCTGCAGAAGGGTACTAGAAAAGCAGTGGTTCCATTCAGAACGCACGCGCTGTAGGTTGCCTGGCTGGCACGTCCTGTTCTCTACCAACTACTCTCCCCTTCCCCTCGGCCGCGCTCTCTACAGGTTTCCCCAGAAGGGTGAAGGCAGCCTCAGATGCCGACTTCGAGCCTCAGTTTTTTGTAGGGTGGTTGTGTGTTTTATGCCAACATTTTTTCCCCCAACATTAACCTCGTCACAGGAAGTTCATCTCTGTTTACTCAGTTGCGTGTATGTAAAAATGTGATTAAGTTTCCACAGCTATAGGTTTTGATTAGTAAAGTTTAGATGCCCCCCACCTTTATTGAGGAATAATTAACACATACAATTGTATATATTTAGAATGTACCACTTGCTGCCTCGATAGACATTATGGAATGACTGTCCAGCTCAAGATCATTAACAGGTCCATCACCTCACATTGTTAACCCTCGTGTGTGTGCGATGAGAACACTTCAGACCTACTCTCAGCAGCTTTCAAACACATGACACTGTCCTGTGACTGGTCACTGGGCTGTATATTAGATCCTCAGAACCTGCTCCTCTTACAGCTGGACATCTGTGCCCTTCAACCCCTGTCTCTGCATTTCCCCATCTCGCCGCATCTCCTGGCAACCATGCTCTGTTCTGTTTCTATGAAATCAGATGGTAGTTTGTTTGGTTTTTTTTTTTAATGATTTTACATGTAAGTGATACCATACAATATTTTTCTTCTTCTATCTTATCTTACTTAGTGTAATGCCCTCAGATTTGTCCATGTCATCAAAAATGGCAGCATTTCCTTCTCTTTTTTATGGCTAAATAATGTTCCTTTTTGTATGTGTGACATTTTCTTTATCCACTCATCTGTCAGTGGACACGTGGGTTGTTCCCATGCCTTGGCTATCATGAATAATGATGCAGTGAACATGGGAGTGCAGATAGCTCTTTGAGATACTAATATCTTTTCCTTTGGATATATACCCAGAAGTGGAATTGCTGGATCATATGGGAGTTTTACTTCTAATTTCTTGAAGAGCCACCAGACTTTTCCATAGTGGCTGTACCCATCTGCATTCCCACCACCAACGACAAGGGTTCTCTGTTCTCCACATCCTCACCAACACTTGCTGTCTCTTGCCTTTTTGATAACAGCCATTGTACAAGGTGTGAGAAGATAGTCTCATTGGGTAGTTTTGATTTGCCTGTCCCTGAAGATGAGTGATGCTGATGACATTTCCGTGTGTCTAGTGGCCATTCCAAGAATGTCTTTTTTGGGAAAGTGTCTATTCAGGTCCTTTGCCCATTTTTTAATAGGACTATTTACTTTTTTGCTATTGAGTTATATGAATCCTTTATATATTTTGAATGTTCGCTCCTTACGAGGGGTCATAGATAGCAAATCTTTTCTCCCATTCTATAGGTCACCTTTTCCGGATACTGTTTGCTGTGCAGAAACTTTCTAGTTTGAGGCGGTCCCACTTGTTTATTGTAGCCTTTGGTGCCTGGAGTTTCAGGTGTTTTTTAGTTGTGGGGTTAGAGGAGATGAGAGAGGGAGAGAGAAAGAGAGAAGTTAGCTACTTCTGCCACAGGTGTTTGTGCTTTTTTTTCCCTTTTCTCTTAACCACACCCCTGATCTTTTCATCCCCCCTTTCTAGGCAGTATTGTGTTGGCTGCCGGGCATCTAAGACTCCCCTCCTGCTTCAGGAAGTTTCTGTGTGAATGCCTGTCCTGTGGGATGCCCTGCTTCAGTGCACTTCTTTTCTGCTCACTCTTTTCCTTTGAAAACCCCCGAGTTCTTGTTTTTAAGGTTAAATAGGTTCCCAGCAATCCAGGGACTGTAAGTACAATAGGAAACACTGAGTAAGAATAATGGCTCGCCTCACACTGACTGGGTCAAGGGGAATGGGCCTTTTAGTCGAGGAATAAATGACTTCCTAACAGTCAAAATTATTTGGCATCTATTATGGCTAAAGATATGCCGCCTGTCTATGTGTTAGTTTGCTCAACTAGAGAAAAAGAGTGTGGGTTTGTGGAGTGTTCTGAAGCTGAGTGGTGGCACTGGGCTCTGTTGGGCTTAGGCGGGTAGGCTAGGTCTGACCTCTCCCAGGGGCTGCTGCCCTTTTTCCCCCCACCACCTTTTCAGTCTTTGGCTTCTGCCTCCTCTCTTGGTTTCCCTGAAGATTACAACCAAATCCAAGTCTCTTTCTCACTGCTCACCCTCTGTTTTTCCACAAAGCTTTTACGTTGATCTAAATGATAATGGCAATAATTTAAAAACCAACAGGTTTCAAAAGAATTTATTGTAGAAGAAAAAAGAAACTTCAGATGTTTACAATATACTACAGTATTTTATTTTTACAAAGCAAAATACTTATATACAGCATGAATTATTAACCATAGATAGTGTCATCTACGTTCATTTTGCAGCCACTTTTTATAGACAAGTTAGAAAGCTCTTTGAGCCCTTTTCTTACAAAGTAAAAAATAAAAATAGATATATCTGCATTGACTGAACATTTTAAGGCGGTTTGTGCAAGCGTCCACGAGGGACTTCTCCCCACCTCTTGCTGGAACTCCCCAGCCGCCACTAGACCCGCTTCTGCCTTTCAACACCGCACCCCGATAGAGGCAGAGTAGGGAGGGGCCAGAGGCCCCCCGACCAGGCCCCGGGCCCCAGAGATCCCTCTGAACAGGTCCAGCCTGGCTCAGCCCACCACCCACAGAAAAGTTTTTGTCTTTAAAAAAATGTGTGGACCGAAGGTAATTTCATCGGATTTGAAAAATCAGAACTCTCCACCATTCTCTTTCATGCCTTTCTCTAACACCCAAGACCTCTCCTTGAGGATCGAAATCACAGGGTTCTTTTTAGGCGAGGGATCTGTTTTCTGCTCTCACATAACCTAGGCCTTCAACTGAATAGGTAAAGTGATGTCATCATTGCTTTTCTTTCACAGAAGAATTAAGTGGAAAGGAAAAACTTTTAGTGAATCTGTCAGGGATCCCAGGCAGAGAAAGCCCCCTCGGGCCAGCCCCCTGAGAAGTATGTGTGATAACCCATTGTGTTAAAATAATTCATCCCATTCGGTAACCTCCTTGTACCTAAATTTGATTGTGCTCCTCAGAGCCTGACCCTCTCATTGGTGATTGTAGGCCAGTTTCCATCCCTACCTTTCTCTCCCCACTTCCTGCCTTTCCCCGCCCTCACCCGGCCTCTGTGTGTCCCCATTTTCCCAGGGCTGCCCCACAGCAGACCTCCACTTAGGGCTGGAAGTCTTCCGGGCGGATCTTCATCTCCACCCGTCTGAGGGAGTAGCTAGACCCGTGCCAGCCGTACCAGGTGATGCCGTCCAGGTGCTTTTTGTGCTCCCCAAGGCGGTAGTACACTCCGTTGAGGTTGGAGTCTGTGCAGCAGTTGTACCAGTAGCCACCTGGCAGGAGAAACACCAGGCTGCGATGCCGAGCGCGCCCTGCCCTTGGAAATCGCTCACAGACCAGACAGCAAGAGTTGGGAAGCTGCTTTTGGAACAGTGGCTAAGCAGTTCAAGCAAGTGTCCCCAACAAAGCCAGAATGCCAGCGCTGGGGCTCTAAATCTATTCTTCTCACGTGGGAGTGCCCCCTCCAGCCCCCCCTTCTCACCTTTGCGGAGTTGCGCACACTTATCTAAGCAGTTGTCGTTGTCCTTGTCCTTGGTGCTGAAGGCCGTGTTGTTGTGGTAGACGAGTGCGTCGTTCCCCGCGTTGCCGCTGTAGTTTCCCAGGAAGAGGCGGTAGCTGTTGAGTTCATTGCCCAGGGCGAAGCGGCTGTACTCCGCGTAGCGCATGCTGCCCTCCCAGTCCTGTCAGGGGGCACGCAGAGCCTTAACAGGAGCTGCAGCGGGCTCTCGTTTCGTCCCCTCCTGCCATGCTGTCCTCTCTCCGCTCGCAGCTGTGCACGCGGTTCCTGCTGTGGGCCTAACCAGGCTTTCCCACATTTGCCTTGAGTTGACCCCACTAAGGCAGGAGTCGGAGAACAAGGGTCCTGGACCTCCCTGAGTCCCCAGCTGGCCTGGATTAGCCTCTCTGTGGCCCTTCCCGTCCTGGCCTAGAAGGTGTGGGTGTGTGTTTGGCCACATCCCCCTTGGAGGTGTGGTAGAGGGGCTTGAGAAGAGATCAGTGCTCCGAGGCCTCTCAGGGTTTGCACGCAGGGGAGCTCGTGCCCCCGGCCAGAGCAGGGACCCATGACTCAGCCCCTCTGACTGTGGATCCCTCTGCTCTGACCCGAGTCCAGCCTCTTCTTAAATCTACAGCCTTGCTTTTGTGGAAAACAAACAAACAAACAAAAAAAAAACAAAAAACAAAAAAACCTCTTTTCCCTCTGTACTGCAACCTGCAGGAAAACCATCATAATAAATACAGGAGCCTATAGCGAGCCAGAGTGGGAAGGGGGCGTCCCCAGAGTTGTGCATGGTTGTGTGTGGCAGCCTGCTCCGGCCCGAGGCCTTGTGCTCACCTCCATCTCCACGCGTAGACGGGTCGGCCGTCGGGACAGCCGGTGGATGTGGTCGTTCCCCAGCCAGAAGTCCCCACGGATGTTGCCAAAACCCTGCTTGTACTGCCGCCAGTCCCGGTAGAAGGAGACGAGGCCGCTCTTCCGTCTCTGAATGGTGGTCCAGCCACCGCCGGACGTCTCCATGTCACAGTACACCTGTGGCAGAGAGGATGCTCTGGTCGGGGACCCACGGAGGCTGGCAGAGGGGTGTGAGGGCGGCAGGCCACACCCCCTTCCTCCCGTTTCCACAGAGCCTGTGCATGTGCACACATCCGTAACCACGCTGGCTCACCACAGCCGCCGCCCAGCCGCGTTGACCAGCAGGAGCGGGGTGGTGAGAACAGTTGTCAAAAGTGAGGACGGGGGCAAGTGCACATGTTGTTGGAGGAGAAGAAAATCCACGTCTGCTAGCCATGTTCTCGCTTTTCTCCTTCCCCAAAGAATAACTGCTCTAGGTGGTGGCAAGAAAGGTCAGCTGCTTGGGTGGAGGTTATAGAATGATCTAATCTGTGTTAGAAGATTGGGTGTTCCCTGGCTCCAACTGGGATCCCTGCCAAGCGGAGCAAGCCTCCCTGGCCTTGGCGTGGGCCCCGCGCAGCAGACAGCCTCTGATGCTCTGCCTCCCGGAGCACACGCTGGGCCCAGCCCTGTCCAGGGGACCCTGGGACCAGTGTGCCTTGCCCCAGACCAGGGATGCCTTTTGAGGAAGTGTGATAAGCCAGAGGCCTGGGCTGCAGCGGGAGCTGCCCCACCCGGAGCAGGTGCGTGCAGAGCGGCACCCGGCATCTCCCAGGAGAGCCATCCACCATCTGTTTCCATCACAGCAACGCCGGGTGTGATCTGGGTGCCCATCCGCAGGCGGGACCTGGAGCCCTGACCCACCGTAAGGTTCCAGAGGGTTACAGTTGAAGACATTCACTGAATACTACTCCAGGCTTAGTTTAAGAATGAAGTGAAGTGGTCCATGAACAAAATCAAAAGCCGGAAGTGGACTTGATGATTGTTGGGTTTCTAGCGCAGGATCAAATGGTAATTTATTCATTATGAAGTGTTGGAAAAATAAAGATTCAGGGGTCCCTGGCTGGGTGGAGCAGGAGCGTAACTCTGGATCTCGGGGTTGTGAGTTCAAGCCCTGCGTTGGGCGTAGAGCTTAAAAATAAAATCTTAAAAAGTCAAAAAAAAAAAAAAAAAAAAGAAGATTGGGTGTTTGGTTGGTAATGATGGCAAGGGGCAAACCAGATACCTGGGGTCCCCCCGCCCCCGCCCCAGTGAAAATTGAGCGTGTGGCTAGCTCTCTACTATCTGGTATGTTTGACTCTCTGTCTTGAGTTTCCCTTTGCTTTGGCGGTGGTGAGCCCATTGCCCCCGGCCCTTCTAGGGGGCGGAGGACAGATGGCAACACCTGGGCAGTGGGTTCTGCTGACCTCACCTCCAGCTCGGGGCTGCCCAGAAAGTCGTCGGGAGGCAGCTTGTACACTCCAGAGATGCGGTAGTTCTTCTGGTAGAGGGACGAGCAGTCGTAGATGGCATCTACAACAGGAGCAAACCACGAGGCTGAGCATCCAAAGCCAGAGGCCCCACCGCAGGTGGGCATTCAGGCTGCATCTCAATCAAAAGTTTCAGAACTGAGACTTCATTTCTACCACAACATTCACATGAGTGTGCATTACAGGGCTGTGTCCGGATTTTGGAGAGGTGTGGGCATTGGGAGACCAAAAGGGGGGTGTATTTTGGCTTTAGTAGTTGGGGGGCTGAGGAGTGGGGAAGCCCTTCGCTGGAACAGCATCAGTGGAACAATCAAACGGGTGCTTTTCGGTTAACTCTAAAATCGATTATCCTGCGGAAGTTCTAGCCTGTGAATTCTGGAAACATTCCAGTGTGTGAGGGCTACATAACAGATGCTCCTGTTTAATAAATTCAGCTTCCGGGACAGCCAGCCTCTCTCCCCACATAAGTCATGAGTATCACATGGCGTTGTTTTGTGTGATAGGGATGGTTTTTCAGAAGTAATGGCTGTTCTTACCTATGAGAATTAGCTATTTTTATCTAGATTGCCTAACTAGGACCCTGATGAAGGGAGATAGATTTCACATCTTATTTTCCCCCCTTCATCTAACACTGCTCGATTCTCAAATGGAAATGCAAACACCCTGAGGAATGCTTGGAGGCCCTCCCCTAGCGGCATTATTAAAACAAGCAAACGAGAGCATTGGGCAGGCTGGTTTTCACTCGGGTTGATTAAAATGCTTCCTTGGCCGCCCAGGGGCTACTGCTTTATGCCTGCTTGTCTCCATATTGCAAATCTCAAAGAGCACCATGGAAGAAACTGCCTTTCCTGAGAGCATTCAAAGAGCAGGAACTCTTGCTATCCAGGAGAGGTTTCCCACCCTCTGTGTCTGGGGTTCTTTCCTTGGCGGTCCCCTGCACTGGGCCTTCAAGAAGAGCACAGCGATGCCAGCACTTCCGCCAAGAACCATCCCAAGCAGAGTGTGTTGCGGCAGGGGATGGGAAGGCACATGTCTTTGCCACCAATCCCTTCATTTTCTGTAATAATGAAAGCATCAACTTACTGCTTTCTCACTGGCCTACCTGCTAACACAGTATGGAGGTGACCCAGCACCTGGTAATAGAGAAGACAAACGAGGAACAGTGTCCTGGGCAAGAAGAGGAAGAGGCACAGCGGGAGAGCTGCCTTTGTTTGACCCCCAAGAAACTCCCTGCTGGGAGGGGAGTAGATGCCGACTGGAAGAGTTGGGGGTGGCCTGGGCAGGTTCCCGGCTGGCCTGCTCTCCCTCGGGTCTGGTTTCATCTCACAGGCCAGACCAGGACCCACCTGTCTGGAAAATGTCCTGAGGATACCTTTCTATTCTAGCCCCACACTGAGGGGCAGGAAGTACATGCTTAGTTAGAAAACGATTTACACATGGTGGTTTTTTAATTAACAATGGGATATCGAAGCTTAATTTCATGTTGATCCCCCCCCCTTTTTTTTTTCATCTGAATTGAGAGCAACCAGTGACATTTAGTCTGTTGTCTCTTGACTGGGTTATGATGTGACCAAAAGTTCTTGTATCAGCAGTAAGTGACAGAGCTGTAGGATATCTCCTTACAAATACTAATCTCCCGATGATTCCAGGACCCCAGGTCTCTTCTCTCTGAATAGTAAATTGGCCTTGGCCAGTCTGAGCCAATCTAACTAGAAACTGAAAATTATTTTAGAAAACGTTAAGTGTGTCTTATTTTGGGGGCCACTGAAAATCCAGATCTCAGCATTGCATTTTCTTCTTTCCTATAATGGGAAAATTTTATTTGAGATCACGGGAAGAAGTAGAAATCTCAGAAGCAAGGAACCTCGAACAGCCTGTCCTTCCCAGAACACAAAGGAATTCTTCATCTGGCTCTAGGGTCTGTACCTCATTCTGAGCCAGTGGGAAGAGTCAGGTTTGCAAAGAAGACACAGAATCCATTACTGCCCGTACCACTAAATCTTAGGGACATGACAGAACTGTGTTTGGCAAAACTAGCTTCTAGAGCAACAGATGTTACAGTTTTGGTGTTCATTCCTGCTTCCTTGGGACTGTCAGCTCTGGCTAAGGAAGTAGACCCGTGAGGGAGACTTGAACCCTATTTCTAAGACCTGTGATGTGACTGGGCAAACCACGTTGTCTTTCTGCTCTCTGGGATGTTAATTCCTACCATTCATAGGCTGAAACATGTTGTGAATAAAGAGATGGTGCAGACACTGGGTAAATTTATAGAAATGTACAGAACATTAGAGCCGGTGGCACATACCCAGGAAAATATACCCCAAAGAACCCCCCAGTCGTCGATCTGATGGCCAGGATTGTAGAAACCATGCTACCAACAGAGACACTCAGCTATTCGAGCAAGGAGGTGATGAGCAGCGTGAGAACGTGCTCTCCTTACCTGCCGAGGTCTGGGTGAGAGTCTGGGCTGCCTGCAGCTGCATAATGTCGATCTGGTTGTTGATTTCCGAGTACTTGCTCTCGGCGTCCGTGAGCCGCGACTCCATGCGCTTGGTGCTGCTCTCCAGCTCCATCACCTGCATGACCACGCTGACCCAGTCCCTTTCCTGCTTCTGGCTCAGGTCACTCAGCAGGCTGCTTAGGTTGGCCATCTGGGCCCTGAGCTCCTTGGCCTCCTCACAGCAGGCGGCCACTTTGAGCTGCGCAGGGGTCTTGTGTTTCGGGGGCTTCTGCGGCCACGCTGGGTGGCTGACAAAGGCCGTGATGAAAATGCAGAGCCAGGTCACCGCCGAGAGAGTCTTTTTCAGCATCTTTCCTGGGCCTGGGTGAGGAAGGCTCTTCCTTCTGGGGATCTAGAGATGCCCAGCTGAGGTCTGCAAAAGCTGGAGCAAATGACGAGTTGGCACTTTCTCTCTGGGTGGGCTCCCCAAGTTCTTGCTTTCTCTTCCTGGGCTCTTTTGGAGCCTTTCTCAAAGTTTGAGTTTGAAAGTGCAGGTTAATTGGGCTCCCTGTACCTTTCCTTCCTTTCCCTGAACACCCTACAGACTCAGCATCTTAAATATTATCTGCCGTCTGCACCTCCGCCCCCGTTGCAGCCTGCGTGGGGCTTTAGCCCCTCCCAGCTCATCTGGGATGGTCAGGTGCCTGCTGGGTGAAGTCAGCGTAAACTTAGGCCAGAGGGGAGGAGGGAGACAGGGCTGCGTCTTTCTTTCCTTGCCTGCAAAGTCTCTGGGCTGAGACAAGAGGACTATGAATTTGTGTGTTTCCAATTTCGGCTATTAGATTATGCCCCTGCCAGCCACTGGCTCAGCTCTATCAGCGAGCCGGGCAGGGTCAGAAGAATTTCCAAGTTCCATTCTGAAGGTTACATAACTGTGGGGTGAGTCTAAGGTAGGCAGAGAAGTTGGGACGAAGCCTCCCCGCTCGCCCAGGGAGGCCTGTAAATGAGCATTTGGCATATACTTTGGCATCCTGCTGAGCAAGCTTTTAACAAGACTGGTTATTCCTTTCTCTGATCATCATTCAGTGTTTTACAAAACCCTCATTCCACCCAAATCTAACATTGTGTCCCATTTGAAAATCTCTAACTTAGATGATCTCTAGAAATAGGATAATCGTCTCAGGAAGCAGAAAAAGACTCGTAGTTCATATCCACAGGATTTGCTCAGTCGTCTTTCTTTGCACGTACTTTCTCCGTCAACAAGTGGGCCAGCATTAGCTTCTCACTCTTGGCATTTGACGAGATGCTGGAGAGGACAGCAGGGACAGAAACTCAGGAGTGACGGACGTGGCTCTGGGATGGTCCTGCACGCTTGCATCCATCTGTGGGCACCACAGAGAACAGGCCCATCCTTGGCCTGTTTCAAAGCGGACATTAAATCATATGGAGAGGAATCCCCATCGCGTAATAAATCCATATCTGCAGTGTCGTTTCCCTCGTCCTGTGTAATACAGTCTGCAGATCTGAAGCTGTTCTCTCTGTGTGATACATATCCCTGAAAGTAGGGTTAGTGTCATGTCTCATGTACTGTGTTTGAAGGGCACTACTCCTTTGAAAACAAATAGGAAGAACCTGGGATTTCAGCAGACCTTAAATACTTAACATGAGCTTTTCACGGAGAATGTCTACAGAGGTCCCTCCATCCTTAGACAGCGAACTCTGTCTTTGGAACACACTCTTGCTGTTTCTGTGTTAACAGAGCCACTGAGGCAGTCCTCTTACTGTTGCCATCCGGTGTGGGGCCTTCACACACGAGCCTGACATCTGACAACCAACCAACCCTCCCTTCCCTGCCACGATTACCCCAGAGTCCTTTTCCAGTTGGGACTTCTGGCTCCCCAGGAAGCTAGAGTTACCAAACTGTTTGTTCCTCTCTAAATGAAAAAGCGGGAGTGGCTCGGGTAGATCAGGGTTTGTTTTCCCCCCTCCCTAGTCTCCTTGCCCACTGAGGGGTGAGGATTTGGCTGGCACCCTCTAGCAACTTGTCATCCCCTGTCCAGCATCGGCAGCCAGTCCCTGCTCTGTTGGCGCAAATACCCAGCCCAGCTGGGCACTACGGTGTGCCCCATAGCGTTCACTAACACGAACCTGGCCCCAGGTGTCAGCATCCGACTGCCCGCTGAACCCCGTGAGGATCCTCGAGCCAATCTCCCAGCCAACAACCCACGCTGAGCTCGTGCCCCAGGACCCACACAGCCACGTGGAACGTCACGTGTGACCCTGCCATCTCAGCACTCCACAGCAACACACAGGACAGAGTACCAGGAACAGTGGGGCCTTATGGATTCCCAGCCAGCTTTTTGTTTGTCCTTCCCAGTGGCCGCTTACCCAGCCCAAACAGGAAACTGTTATGAATAAATTTTCATATTTGGGCAGAAAGTGAATCAGTCATTTGTAGAGCAATCCGTTCTAGGGGTTCATAAGTTTGGATCAGAAGCATCTAGCTGTTAGCATGAATGCCTGCTCTCTGACATGTATTTTCTGAAAACCAATTTCTAACATGAGGTGTAAGTTGGACACAGAGGCTTTCCTTATTTGAAGATTTTCTTACATCACCTAAGCTGCCCAAATGTCAGTAAACCCCGCCCAGATTTTTAAAAATTTAGCAAATTAAGAGTGTTCCGCATGCCAGATTATCAGCCGTCCAAACATCCACAACCCTGTGATGTCCTAGATTCTGAATTTCTGAAAGAAGGAAAAAGTAAACCCTGTTTTGAGTACAGCTAAGCCAGTAGAGAAAACCAGGAAGGATGTGGCAGACTAGACCGGTTTTCCCTCTCCAAAAGGCTTTTTTACTCCCTTCTGTGCCCTTCAGTGAATAAAGTGACCATAAAAATGGGAATTAACTGAGAAAATCTGGAAAGCCAGTGTTGGACACCTTGCAGTTTTTCCCTTTCTCTATTTTGCTGATGGTGAAAGAGGGTTACCTTGGTGTTCCTGGGAAAGATGTTTATGAAAACAAGCTTATATTCTAAATGAGAAAAGCCAGTGAGCTTTCACTCAGCCTGGAAGTTCTCAAAGACTTCACAGTCTGGGCTGTGCTGCCTTGGGCTGGCACCAAGGACCAGAGGCGTTCGAGCAGCCTGAGGGTTTCAGAGCAGGGAAGGGCCTCGAGGTGGTCTCTTCTACCCAAATGGGAGTGTCATTTTCTTGAAAATGTTCTGGTTGGAGAGACTCCTCCTATTCTAATGTGTTTGTGTCCCTGCCTGCTCTTAAGCTATCACCGGCAAAATTGGTGAAGGGGAGAAAGAACAACCCTCAGAGCCAGACTCTTAGTTTATTGAATGAATTCCTGTCAGAAGAACCTGCCTTGTTCAGTTTTTTTTTTTTTTAAGATTTTATTTATTTATTTGACAGAAATCAGAAGTAGGCAGAGAGGCAGGCAGAGAGAGAAGGAAGCAGTCCCCCCGCTGAGCAGAGAGCCTGATGTGGGGCTTGATCCGAGGACCCTGGGATCATGAGCCGAGCCAAGGCAGAGGCTTAATCCGCTGAGCCACCCAGGCACCCTGCCTTGTTCGTTTAATTGTGTACTAAATGGGGATATTTTCCTTGTCCTAAAGTCTTTCAGTGAGCCACAGCTTTCTTTACTATATGCAGCCATTTCATACCTGACCCTGTGTCATTTGGTCTTACTTCCATCTCAGCTAAAAGCCCACATCCATCCCAGAAGGTACATCTGTCTCCTCCCTCAGCTTCTCGAAGAGTGCATGCATTCCAGACAGGTTCGAAATCATTCTCTCCGGCCTCCTGGAGTCTGTTATTCATTGTAGCACCCAGCAAAAGAGTCTGTCTCTGCTGCCCCTTGGACTCTGTAGCAAACACTGGTCTGTGAGCCAGCATGGGAGTTGCAGAGCACAGTGACAGTGCTGGCCCAGCCTCAGCTGCCTCACAGTTTAGTTGGAGAAAGAGACAGCTGAGCTCTAGGACAGTGTGACACTCGAGGACGGGGGCACAGAGGAGGAGGAGTGCCTAACCCAGATGAATTTGGGAAGGCCTCCCAGGGGGAGTGATGCCCAGGTTTCAGAGAAAAAGGAGGAGGTAGCCAGGGGTGGGAAGGGGGCATCACGAGCAAGGTGCATTTTTGTGAAAGATCTTGACTTAGTAGGAAGACACAAGTAATCGAGTGTGGGCTTAAGCGGTTGGGGGAGGGGGGCGGCAGTTAAAGCCAGAGAGGAGGAGGGAACCAGGCCTGAGGGACCTAAGGAGTCTGCGTGAGGGTCGTGATTGCTACTCTGAAGACAGAAGGAGCTCTGGCAGGAATTTAAGCAGCTTTTACCTCTTGTTGCTCTGTTTTTCCGAGTCTCACCGGGAAAGTGGCTTTTTGTGGTTGGCAAACAAGATTTTTAACTGGAGATGGGTGACTTAGAACATTAGAATTTCTTGAAATTGTAATTCATTCATATTAAACGCCCTGAAGGGATCATCTGGCTTGAGGACTAAGAAGGCAGCATATGAAGGACTTGAAATAGTTGGGCCTAGAATCAGGCGAATCTGGGTTCTAATTCCTTGCCATCACTTGATGGTTATATGACCCTGGGCAAATTATTTCTCTGGGTTTACAGATCTGTTCAGTGGAGATGAAAATCATAACTACTTCATCTCACAGGATTTTTGGTTAAATAAAACAATGGATTAAAATAATTAAGGCGGGGCACCTGGGTGGCTCAGTGGGTTAAAGCCTCTGCCTTCGGCTCAGCTCATGATCCCAAGGTCCTGGGATCGAGCGCCACATCGGGCTCTCTGCTCGGCAGGGAGCCTGCTTCCCCCGCAACCCTGCCTGCCTCTCTGCCTACTTGTGATCTCTGTCTGTCAAATAAATAAATAAAATCTTTAAAAAAAAAAAAATAAAAAATAAAATAATTAAGGCATTTTTTCAATAAGAAAACTAAATTCAGGGACACCTGGGTGGCTTAGCTGGTTAAACGTCTGCGTTTGGCTCAGGTCATGATCCAGTGTCCTGAGATCAAGTCCCACATACAGCTCCTTGCTCAGTGGGGAGCCTGCTTCTCCCTCTGCTTGTGCTCTCTCTGCTTGTGCTTTCTCTCTCTCTCTCTCTCTCTCAAATAAATAAATAAACTATTTTTTAAAAAAGGAAAAGAAAACTAAATTTGGAGGAGTTAAACTACTAGAAATCAAGATTTATCACAAAGCTACCATAAGCAATTCAGGCAGTGTGGTGTTGGCACGAGGATAGACGCACACGTAGATAAGCGGAGCAGAATCAGATGTTCCGAAACACCCACCCATAAGCAGACACTTGAGTTACGACAAGGGGGCACCACAGAGCAGGGAAGAAAGGACAGTCTTCTCAGCATGTTCTTCCAGGTCAGCTAGGCAGACTTACCTACCTCGCACCCACACACAAAACTCCAAGTTCAGAGGAGGTTTGAGTTCTACATGTGAAAGGTAAAAACTAAAGCTTCTCGTTTTTTTTTAAACTAAAGATCTAACAAAAGACCTTATCTTTAGCATCTGGGGATCAGCAAAGATTTCTTAAGCAAGATACGAAGTACACTAACCATCGGAGAAAACATTATTTGATGCA